CTAAAAGTTTGTTTACCCTGTGTTGCAATGTACTTTTTTCCCCTTGTTGGTCCCTGCAAAACAAGAAACCTTAATTGAATCATTCTTCCTTAAACACTTAGTGGGTTATAAAGTGTAATGGATCTACACATCAAGTTTACTGTGTGGATGGCTTAACAAACTCACAGACATGTTCACATTTAGAGTCTCTAATGAAGTCCTTCTTTATGTATCCCAAATATCATGTAACTGAATCTCTTGAACTTACATCAATGAAGCTTGCGTTTATGTAGCCACTGCTTCCACTCGGGCCTTTCAGCACGACCAGAGAGTGGTTGTCTTAAAACAAATCAAGTCTTTCTAATCAGTAAATGTATGCATTCAGGTATACAAAACTGCATCAAAAGACACCTGTCGCCGATACATCATAGGTAGTTATCAAGCAACAAGTACATTTACAAAATAGTGTGTACCTGTATAGGGGTGCTATTCAACGATGTCAGTCCCTTGTTACAATAAATACTCCAATTCCTCCAAAGTCATTTTTTACATTTTGTAGAAGCAAAACAGCTTTATGAATCCGCTCAGAAACATGAAAACTCACACCAAAGACTACAAGGCGAACCAAAATCAGAACAAATCTTTTGACAACATGAACAAAATGAATAAGACACGGTACTGTTTCCCAGTGTTTCGGTGAAACAAAATTTAATAGAATTATGAACATACTTTATATTTATACTTTTATACAAATATATCACAGACACACTCATGTTTTACGACATTAGTGAGTGAGTTTACATTCCAAGTCACATTGGCAATATTTCTGCCATATCGTGACGAGAAGTTGTACATTAATAATAGATATATTTAGACTGGATAAAAAGCCTGTGGTGGATGCACAGTACAATAACTATATATTACGTCAACGTTATATATCGATAGATGTCGTGAAAGGTATAAGCCTTTGCCTTACACGGGTAAATGCCTTTAAATCGATTCTTTGGACTGTTCACTTGCGTCAGTGCTTTGTCGTGAATTGCTGTCAGACCTTTGGGGAGCTCCTGTAAATTCAACACCAGAGCAACGTCAGTTTCGAATATCTGCCAGAACATATTCCATGAGGCCCAAAAGGCCCACTAGTGATGAAAAATATAAGAATTGATCACTGAAATTAGTGATGACACCAGGTGTTCGGGAAAAGTATGTCCTGCTATACCGGTAGCACCCACAACAGTTTCTTTAAAACGTAAGTGGCAGTTGGTAAGGACGTGTGAAAACTCGATGTAAAGGGTACATTAATGTAAAATGAATGGAACTGCTTCGTGCATCATGTAGACATGAGACATATAAGATTTAGTAAATTCCTCACGAATAACAAAATCAGGCCTTTGATCCTTAGAAGGAGGATAGCCAAGTTTCAGCGACATGGGTCCATCAAGACCTTCACAATACGTACAGCATACTCTTTCACCAAGATTTCTTTTGTGGCTTTCTTCTTTGCAACGAAGTCCTTGAGGTCACTGACTGCCACTGGAACACTTCTGGGAACATTGATATAGATAGCCTCGTCATCGTCGTTGACGGCTCCGTTTTCCGATGCACCCTGGCCTTCCCGGGCTGCCATAGGGAAGCTCAAACCGTTAGTCATGTCTTCCCCAGTCTCTGAAAACAGGATAGCAATAGTCCGGTACCAACAACTACATGTGAAGCTAACCGATCTAGACCACCATACCAAACATTCATGTCAACAATTGAAACAAGAACCATTTGAAAGTTAATCAGATATGAATAAATTATCAAAAGTTACTATTGCAAGTAACTTATGACAGTACACATACACGTTGATTCAGCTTTTACTTACTTTTTCCTCTTAATCTTCTCAACGGCTCTCTAAAGAAAAACAAAGATATTTACAGATAAGCTGTGGGTTGTTATATGTAGAACATTTCACTTCAAGATTCTTACTGTCAAACTCAGATATTCATTTGTGTCTATGCATTTGCTTTGATTTCATCATTGATGAAATGAATGTTCAATACTTGATAGCTGCACTATCTTTCGGTAGTTATAAGAGGTCTTTAAGTTGGTTGATTGGTTGAGAATGAGTGAGTGATTATTGCTTATCTCTTCACCAATCATTCGCTGCGAGAAATGTCTATAATATTACCAAATGTATGCCAATACAACAAAAGCAATGCTGAAAATCACTAACATTTCAGTTAAATATCACATTCAAGAGTAAAACTACCGACTGCTCAAATAAAGATCTGTATCTCATCTTAGAGTTTGATTTCTTTAATTGGTTGTGGTAGGGGTAATGTCCTTGCAAATAAGAAGAAAACAACATCTCACCGAAAGTAGACAACAGCACATATTACAACTGCTATAACAGCAATTAGTAAGAGAACAAGTCCAACGATGAGGTTTACACCCTGGTGTTCGGCTGCAATCGAAAAAGATAACAGGTAATAGGTGTGCATGTACAACAGAGGAGGTAACAACATTACGGGAATAGTGTCAATACTGATAGTCATGTTATGATGATGTTTTATGGGATGACGACGGATGGGAGTATTCAGGAAATATGGAAATGGAAATACCAAGCAACTAGGTATAAAAACATTTAATTAAATATAAATGTCTAAAGAAAGCAGATCTAAAACATATACATGATAAATCTGTGGTACAAACTATCTGCAAGGTTACAAGGCGAAAAGGAGCTCTACGACTGCAATGGCCCTTCTTCAAAATAGATCACTTAGTGAAATAATAGCAACATGTGCTCATAGAAAATGACTGCAATCTCGGCAGGATAAAGCCAACGGATAAAAACGATATCCGTTAGGGTCATATGCGGATAGAGATGCAAATATCAAAGGTCAAGTAGGGAATACTTTCACAGTTTATAAACAAACATGGCGATCGGGTCAGAATTAACCATCGGGAATCTGGATAAACTACAGGGATAATTGCTATCATTATAAAAAAACCAGTCTAATATACTATAAATCAGTGTCTAACTGTGACGTAGCTAAGGCATTTTATAAGTTTTGGCAACTTTGGAGATATAAATTTCGATACAAATTTGCGAGGACACGAGGCCTAGCCAAGCGGGATCAGTAGCCATAGATGTGCTTGTAGACCTCTGCGGCTTGACACCTACTCAACAAATTAAAATAGTTGGATTTGGCCGAAATATGTTTGAATTGTTACCTTATTTCGTTTTGTTGCTGCGTGTACATCTGACTACACTTCTTAACGTTATGATAGGATCGACCTACTGTCAACAACGTCTGACCGTGGCCGTGACGTCTCATAGACTAGGGATAGAGTAGCTTCCCTTTGACAACGGGCAGTTACTCTAGCGGACAGACCGATGGATTGCCGCGAAAGGCAATTAAAAACAATTGTTGTTTTGCGTATATGTTGCTTCGCCACCTATAAGAAACAGATTTCGGTTGGAACTATATTGGCTACTGTCACTGTCCGACTGACACATCACTTACCCTATGACGTAGTAAATATTAATGCGCACATTCCACGAAAACTCGCAATGTTTCGGTAATGTTTGTGAGAGAGGGAAAGCGAATTTGAAGCACAGAATTAAAGAGTAACATTATATGATAAAGAGGTTATCACGCTTGTGTGTTTGGGGATGGTAAATATCCTGTATTAGGAAAAAAACACTATGTATTTAGCTCGCCAAGGCTCGCTAAATACAATGTTTATTCCTAATGCAGGATATTTACCATCCCCAAACACACTCGCGAGATATACCTCTATATATCACTTTCCTGCAGAACATGATACTAAACTCATGATGATCTAGTTGGTGGGCTGGGCAAGGTGAAATTGGGTTTAACGTCGCGTTCAGTTTATTTCACTTATATAACGAAGTGAATGCACTAGTCTGTATTTATAGCAAGTCTAGTGATATACCAGATTTAACATGGATGCCCAACTCAAAGACATCATCTTGCCTTCCAGCTGCAGTTTTACGCCGCACTCAGCAATATTCCATCTATATGACTGATATCATGAGGATCGATCCACGCAATTGGGATACGATGACATGCTTCAACCAAGTCAGCGGGCCTTATCACCCGATCCCGTTAGTCCCTCTTACGACAAGCATAGTCGCCTTTTACGGCAAGCATGGGTTGCTGAAGACCTATTCAACCCCCGGATCTTCACGGGTCTGCTGGCCAGGAAGGATAACAGTTATGATATCGAGCCATCGACCTTCCTCCCTCCAGGCAGAGAGAATAGTTCAACGTGTGCATTTGTGTCCATACCACGTTATTGCGTCTTGCTAACTCTTTAATTGTAAAATTCGTGATCGAGTTGTTGCCAGCCTACTATACATAACTTTGTTTATTAATCCGAATTACATCATGACAGAATTACCTTCAGAAACTTCACAATATTCGCCACTTCTTCCGTCAAGACAGCCTTGAGTACAGGAACCATTGACATGATGACACGTGGCATTGGCACAGTGGATGCTACATTCATCGTTACACTGTTCACCGTACCTTCCATCATCACATTCTGGAACCAAAATGAAACAGTTTAGTAAATCTGTTAGTATGCACCCGTTTTGCGAACTCCTAATATCACAGACGGAAACTCACATTGATTCTAGAATTTAGGTTCTTTAATGTTGCCTCCTTTGTGTGGATTTCGTTTTGTTATTTTGGTTAGTGGATATTTATATGACATTTTCAACATACACGATCGATACAATTTGGATGAATTATTAAAATATTTTAAAAATATCAACAGATACGGGTATGTATCTACCTACTTGCACTCTTTGCACTTACCTATTGCCCTTTTTGCACTTACCTATTGCCCTTTTCGCTCTTACCTTATTGACTTTCCAAACGGAGCGAGACTGATTTGTTGCAAAACCATTATTTATTGTATTCTTCATATACGTATGGATCAACACTATAGTCAAGGCGCATGTAGATGCTCCAAGGATTACCTTTGTCGCATCTTGATATGTTCTGGTCCTTGTGTTCCCATCCATCCAGACACATGTCACAACGTCCAGTGGTTCTGTCACAAGTCTGGTTGACACATCCTCTTGAGCACTTCAGCACACAGTTAATTCCGTATGTCCAAGGGGAACAGACTGGTTGGTGATAATGAATGTAGACATTTGAATTGAGATTTATTTGCATAGCAAGTAAACTGGCTGTTTATCAATAGCTGACAGTTCCATGCAATAACGCACTTTGATAAATCCATTGTGTAATGTGTTCATTGTTGATTAAAGAAATAATGACCAATACATGTATGGGTCTGTGGCTAAACATGTTACTATTTAATGTAAGCAGTCGTCAAGAAGTTACTATAGATAGAGTGGTGTGGCAACGGGAACGCCGAGACTCGTCCAGCGTTGTATAGAGCCTTACAGTTTTTTTGTAGAAAGTTCTGGAAGCTAGGTAGAAGGTATATACGGGAACAACAGCATGCTCTCGCATCTCTCACACATTTCATCACACATATTCACGAGGAAATATCAAGACCAGCTTCCGTGTGAAGATCACCCCGGATTCCCCGTCTAGGCCCATTTCGGAAGCTTGACCACCGTCGCCGCTTGGTGAATATACTGTCACTGGCGTTTGCTATAACCACTGTATTTTTGTATTTAACACTGACCATAGTCATCATAATATATATATACTGTCACTGAATAGTGTACTACCACTCTCTTGTGTACTACCATTGTAATTGTTGTACAGTAATTTGTATTGATTTGTAAACAGTCAATTTTGTAATACAAATGTTAATTGTATACCATTTGTTTTTTGTTGTTTGTTTCACACTACGTTCTTTTACTAAGTTCGATTCATTTTTGGATATATCCAAATATCCAACAAGAGTGTAATACAGAATTAAAACATGTCGTTGATTAAGGTACATATGACTAATATATTCTAAATATTCTAGAAAATCATAGGTCGGCAGTAGGCAGAAATAATCTCATGTCAAGAAAGAATCACTACGTCTTAAAACATGCTAAATAGTCATACAAAGTACATATTCACACTAAAAATGTCATATTTGATTTCAGAGTTATGTCAAAAGAAACAAACCGCTGCCTTGATCTCACCACTAGCCCAATTACATATCTTAACAAGCCAAATCCCCACTCGGATCCGCCACCGATGTTTTTTGCAATCATGTTCTGTGTCTATATCTCTCAAGTGTGAATGTTTTGTACATTTCTTGAGACGATGTTGTGACAGATGTTGTGGACAAGACTAGTCGAGAGCATTTAGTAAGCTAAATACCAGACACTGACATCCCTCCATTGATCAGTGAAATACATATTATTGCAACGGTTTAAACGGCAACATTAACTTAACTAACCATAACAAGACAATACAATCAATACATAACAGTCACATATAAAGAAATCAGATTTAGCTTTAGCCCTATGCCATTTGTCTGACGTTAAGACAGCACAGCGGACATAATTAGACATAACAAGAATATACGTCTTACGAAGAAAACAAAACTATGATTATTATATAAACATCCATTTTATTTAGAAACGTGAGGCTACTGCTTAAAACCAGTTGGTGAACCCCAGTCGTTTCCTGTTGTCATCTGATTGGTCGTCTTCACTCGATGGATGTACCTCGTTTTCATTTGTGCTGGCAGAACTACTTTGACTATCAGGGGCTCATATTGATATGGAAGAATATGTGTGAAGTCATTGAAAGAAAATGCTACGTTTTCATCGGCGTCGCTGTCTGTTGATGCCTTGGCGAACGCTCGTTTGTCAATTTGTTGATTGTTTACCGCTGCACGCAGCAATATTCCAGCTATATGACAGCGGTCTGAAAATAATTGATACTGGAACAGGCAATAAAGTGATTGACGCCCCCTGCATCTAAGCAATTGGGATACGTTGACATACATCAGCCATGTCAGGGAGCCTGACCACCCGAACCTGTTATTCGCATCTTACGGCATGCATAGGTTGCTGACGACTAATTCTAGCCCGGAATGTTGTCAGCTGGCGTTGTCAGCTAGCGTTGTCCGCTGGTGTTGTTAACTGGTGTTGTTAACTAGTGTTGTCAACTGGTGTTGTTAGCTAAAGTTGTCAGCTGGTGTTGTCAACTGGCATTGTCAGCTGGCGTTGACAACTGGTGTTGTCAGTTGGCGTTGTCAACCGGTGTTGTCAGCTGGTGTTGGTCAACTGCTGTTGTCAGCCGGTGTTAGTCAACTGGTGTTGTCAACTGGCGTTGTCAACTGGTGTTGTTAATTGGTGTTGTTAACTGGTGTTGTCAGTCGGTGTTGGTTACCATGGGTGAAGGGAGAGGTAAAAGAACAATAAGCATGAAGTAAAATGTCGAGCCAGTATACAAGGTCACAGCCAAAGGTTGAGGAGGATACGGGTTGATGTTTTTTTCACAAAGAAAGCATTCCAACTGTTGTGGAAAGAGACATGATAAAAAAAAATCTATTGAATATGATATTGATTTGTTAACGATGACAAAATGATCTGAACACTCCTTTTTTGAGACGCATATGTCTATTATTCGATGGATTTCACTGCTGCGAACATACTGTTAAATACAAATGGTCTTATCAATAGGCCTTTCATGAGGGGACACTGTTAATGCGAAGCCATTTACTCATGAGTTAAAATCCCCTGCATCTAAGCAATTGGGATAAATTGACATGCATCAGCCATGTCAGCGAGCCTGACCACCCGAACCTGTTAGTCGCATCTTAAGGCATGCATAGGTTGCTGACGACTAATTCTAGCCCGGAATGTTCACACTGGAGCCGAACGCCAGTAACCTACACTTAACAGAAACAATGATCGTCTGCAAGTAGTATCTACGCTGTAGCGTCAGATCACGTGATGACAACTCTGCTTATCAACTCAAGGCAGTTTCCGGAATATGAGTCGGTTTAGCTACTAATAATGTCTTGAGTCAGATGTTATACAATTCTATGTATTGAAAGTGTTCTCTTATTTTCGTAACGAGAACCAGTGAAAAGTGGGTTAAGCATAAAGAAAGAAGAAAGATTAAACAGCCCTGCCTACTCAACAGTTTCGCCCTTGGCTGTTATCTTAATTCTATTTATTTAGAAACTGGGGATAATTAATGTCAGCTTGGCCCATCATCCACCGCCTTGAGTCCTATGACTTTGTTGTATATAAACATATTTTCAAAATGAAGTTTACCAAGCACAGAGCAAGACACGACCAACCGGTTTTAAGACCTGTGCAGGTGTAGTAATGTCAAAGTGGTGCGTAAGGCGAAAGTAACATTGTTAGGGGCTCCAATGCCCTGAACCACAACGTTGCACAATTTTGTCGACCATTACCGGCAGGATTGGAGTGCTGGGGACACATGTTACCCCGGTTCCAAGCAGCATCCAAGCATCCTTGATATCTCGTATTTTGGGGTTCCCTTTATTTTAACGAGAACTTTTAAAAGTAGGTTAGCAATAGAGAAAGAAGAAAGTTTAAAGAGCGCTGCCCCCCCCCCCCCCCCCCCCCACACACACACACACACACTCCCCCCTCCCCAACACACATACACACATATACACACACACCTTATTTGGTGTCAAGAAAAGACAGGGCAAAACATGATGAGCCGATTGTTGGATCCGAGCTCAGTTTAAGACACATCTTACCCTGGTCTAAGCAGGGAAGATAGTTCAAAGACTCCTAAAACAATCCAAAATAACACCAACTACACCATCATGAACGCATTTAAGACAATCATCAATGTCACAGGCAAACTAAAACCTAGGTGTAAACCCGAATATGCACAATATTACTAAATGTGCACCCTCATTAAACTTATGAACCGTTTAAACAGCTCTTGGGACAAGAGCAGATGCCTTGTTACAAACATACTCCGGTTTTCACTCGCGCTTCCGCCCTAACTCACTAAGGGTAGAAATTAATAATGGGATGTGGGGGAAAGTAGAAGTTTGATAGATAGCTGGCTTCATGTGTAGGCTAGATGAGCTCGCGCCTTGTCACCAAGGCCATCCTATTTCACTTGAACCGAGAACGTGGGCGTATTTGTTTTCCAGCGCCTCAATTGACCAGCTGTCAGTAAGGGTTGTCAGCTGGTGTTGGTCAGCTGGTGTTATCAGCTGATGTTGTCAACTGGCGTTGTCAACTGGTGTTGTTAACTAGTGTTGTTTACTGGTGTTGTCGGCCGGTGTTGGTCAGCCTATGTTGGGCAACTTGTGCTGTCAGCTGGTGTTGGTCAGCTGGCGTTGTCAACAGGGGTTGTCCGCTGGTGTTGTTTACTGGTGTTGTCAGCTGGTGTTGTAAACTGGTGTTGGTCAACTGGTTTTGGTCAACTGGTTTTGTCACTTGCATAGGTTACCACGGGTGAAGGGTGAGGTAAAAGAACAATAAGCATGAAGTAAAGTGTCGAGCCAGTATACAAGGTCACAGCCAAAGGTTGAGGAGGATACGGGTTGATGTTTTTCAAAAAGAAAGCATTCTAACTGTTGTGGAAAGAGACATGATGAAAAAAAATCTATTGAATATGATATTGATTTGTTGACGATGACAAAATGATCTGAACTCTCCTTTTTTGAGACGCATATGTCTATTTTTCGAGGGATTTCACTGCTGCGAACATACTGTTAAATACAAATGGTCTTATCAATAGGCCTTTCATGAGGGGACACTGTTAATGCGAAGAAAATGAAAGTAATATGCCATTAAATTAAATGAATTATCTGCTCTCGTCATATAAACAACAGTTCAAAGAAAACAACGTTTGTAGGTTAACATTAAATAAGCAAGATGATGGATGAACAAATGTAATACTCATATAGAACAAATGTAAAACTGTTTTGCAAACCTTCTCGGTCTTTTGTGTTGAGAAACATACTAACGACAAAAGGAACTGTGTGTTATATGACATTCGATAAAAAATATATTTGTTCGAAATGATGGTTGTTAATGAGCATACCTGGGGAATGAGCGTAACTTGTAATGAAGGCATTGCAAAAAGCGTTCCAATACAATTTCCAGGATACGGTACAAAACCATTACTTTCTGCATTCTCGTAATTCTAGACGTGTATTTCAGAAGAATCACAGCTGAAATGTCAAAGCATTATAACAAGTAAAAATGCTCTGACGCTTTATTTAGAAAAAAACATTGCTCTAATTGTTTATTCACAACGCGGCTGAGCTTGGGACAGCTCTTCAAGCGGAATGGCGGGCAATCAAACGCAAATTAATCCAACAGTATGTCATCAAAGTGTTGTGCATGTATCGCCCAACATGGCGAACACACCAGATATTGATCAGTCATTGTTCCATCCTTGTCACTTCATCACAAAACTTATACAGATTAGGAACGGTGGAGTATTCTTGTGGTCCTAGCATTCGCTTGTAATGTCGAAGGCCTGGGTTTGATTCCCTTCATGGATACAATACGTGAATATTGCTAAAAGTGGCGTTAAACATAAATCACTCACTCATACATATTATGACACTGTAACAAGTGAACATCGCCTTCTGGCCATGGGGTGTATCACTATGCGTTGTGTTCTCATTGGTATAGAAAGACTGTGCTTACTGTTGCAGCCATATCCCGTCCAGCCAGCTTTACATGAACAGTGACCGTTTGCCGTGTTACACGTTGACCTACACCCAGCTCCACATGATGTACAGGATTGCCCGTCCCTGTAATAGCCGCCACTGCATGCTGTAAATTAACACAAATTGTTCCAATGAGAAGTAGACAATCATTGATAAACTGGGTATTTTGTACGAAACATCGTGAGCGTTGTATGGTTAGCATACTGAATCGTTGGGCACTGCAGGACCGTACTTCCAGTGTTTTGTGTTATACTTGAAAACAACTCACATAAAATGATAGCAATAATATTTTGCTTCACTGTGCGATGATATCTGGTGTATTCTCAGCACAGGTGTCGGCAAAATTACAATCAACCGAAATAATTGTGATACGATCCGTCTACTATTAGCCAAAAAAGAGCAGAGAACCTTCAGTATCACAGTAGCATTTAAGTACCATACAGTTATGCATAATGAACTGCTCATGCCACAGCAACGCATTACATCAGTATATATGATACAAAAAGAATACCAGTTTCAAATGAATTTTCAACGTATTTTTCCAACTGATGCATTTGCGAAAAATCTAGGCTCTTCACGTCTGTCTTCTGGAGCAATGCCAAAAGATCCAGGTCAGCTAATATTTAATTTGCATGAGTGAGGATTCAAGGGTTTCGCTAAAAGGATCATGCCCCACTGGTGTATCCTTTGAAATCTTCGTAAGAAGAACATGAGAAATGGCTATTGACCATTATACAACGAAGCATAAAGTTTTCCATGACAATTTCCAGTATGCGGTACAAAACCATTACTTTCTGCTTTCTAGTAATTCTGGACGTGTATTTCAGAAGAATCACAGCTGAAATGTCAAAGCAATATAACAAGTAAGAATGCTCAGACACTTTATTTAGAATAACATTGCTCTTATTGTTTATTCACAACGTGGCCAAGCTGGGGATAGCTCTTTAAGCACAACCAAACGCAAATTAATTCAACAGTATGCCATCAAGGTGTCGTGCATGTATCGCCCAACATGGCGGACACACGAGATATTGATCAGTCATTGTGTCATCCTTGTCACTTCATCACCAAACTTATACAGATTAGGGACGGTGGGGTATTCTTGTGGTCCTAGCATTCGCTTGTAACATCGAAAGCCCGTGTTTGATTTCCTACATGGATACAATGCGTGAATATTGCTAAAAGTGGCGTAAAACATAACTCAATCACTCATACATATTATGACACTGTAACAAGTGAACATCGCCTTCTGGCCATGGAGTGTACCACTATACGTTGTGTTCTCATTGGTATAGAAAGACTGTACTTACTGTTGCAGCCATTTCCCGTCCAGCGAGCTTTACATGAACAGTGACCGTTTGCCGTGTTACACGTTGACCTACACCCAGCTCCACACGGTGTACAGGATTGCCCGTCCTTGTAATAGCCGCCACTGCATGCTGTAAATTAACACAATGTTTTCCAATGAGAAGTAGATTTTGTACGAAACATCGTGAGCGTTGTATGGCTAGCATACTGTATCGTTGGGTACTGTAGGACCGGTACTTCCAGTGTTTTGTGTTATACTTGAAAACAACTCACATAAAATGATAGCAATAATATTTTGCTTCACTGTGCGATGATATCTGGTGTATTCTCAGCACCGGTGCCGGCAAAATTAGAATCAACCGAAATAATTGTGAAACGATCCGTTTATTAGCCAGAAAAGAGCAGAGAACCTTCAGTATCACAGTAGCATTTAAGTACCATACAGTTATGCATAATGAACTGCTCATGCCACAGCAACGCACTGCATCAGTATATATGATACAAAAAGAATACCAGTTTCAAATGAATTTTCAACGTATTTTTCCAACTGATGCAGTTACGAAAAATCTAGGCTCTTCACGTCTGTCTTCTGGAGCAATGCCAAAAGATCCAGGTCAGCTAATATTTGATTTGCAATAGTGAGGATTCCAGGGTTTCGCTAAAAGGATCATGCCCCACTGGTGTATCCTTTGACATCTTCGTAAGAAGAACATGAGAAATGGCTATTGGCCATTATACAACGAAGCATAAAGTTTTTCATGACAATTTGCAGTATTCCGTACAAAACCATTACTTTCTGCTTTCTAGTAATTCTGGACGTGTATTTCAGAAGAATCACAGCTGAAATGTCAAAGCAATATAACAAGTAAGAATGCTCAGACACTTTATTTAGAATAACATTACTCTAATTGTTTATTAACAACGTGGCCGAGCTGGGAATAGCTCTTTAAGCACAACCAAACCTCACATTAATCCAACAGTATGCCATCAAGGTGTCGTGCATGTATCGCCCAACATGGCGGACACACCAGATATTGATCAGTCATTGTGTCATCCTTGTCACTTCATCACCAAACTTATACAGATTAGGGACGGTGGGGTATTCTTGTGGTCCTAGCATTCGCCCGGGTTTGATTCCCTACATGGATACAATGCGTGAATATTGCTAAAAGTGGCGTAAAACATAACTCAATCACTCATACATATTATGACACTGTAATAAGTGAACATCGCCTTCTGGCCATGGAGTGTTCCACAATGCGTTGTGTTCTCATTGGTATAGAAAGACTGTGCTTACTGTTGCAGCCATTTCCCGTCCAGCGAGCTTTACATGAACAGTGACCGTTTGCCGTGTTACACGTTGACCTACACCCAGCTCCACACGGTGTACAGGATTGCCCGTCCTTGTAATAGCCGCCACTGCATGCTGTAAATTAACACACATTGTTCCAATGAGAAGTAGATGTTGTACGAAACTTCGTGAGCGTTGTATGGTTAGCATACTGTATCGTTGGGCACTGTAGGACCGGTACTTCCAGTGTTTTGTGTTATACTTGAAAACAACTCACATAAAATGATAGCAATAATATTTTGCTTCACTGTGCGATGATATCTGGTGTATTCTCAGCACAGGTGCCGGCAAAATTAGAATCAACCGAAATAGTTGTGAAACGATCCGTCTACTATTAGCCAAAAAAGAGCAGAGAACCTTCAGTATCACAATAGCATCTAAGTACCATACAGTTATGCATAATGAACTGATCATGCCACAGCAACGCACTACATCAGTATATATGATACAAAAAGAATACCAGTTTCAAATGAATTGTCAACGTATTTTTCCAACTGATGCAGTTACGAAAAATCAGGGCTCTTCACGTCTGTCTTCTGGAGCAATGCCAACAGATCCAGGTCAGCTAATATTTGATTTGCAATAGTAAGGATTCCAGGGTTTCGTTAAAAGGATCATGCCCCACTGGTGTATGATTTGAAATCTTCGTAAGAAGAACATGAGAAATGGCTATTGACCATTATACAACGAAGCATAAAGTTTTCCATGACAATTTCCAGTATTCGGTACAAAACCATTACTTTCTGCTTTCTAGTAATTCTGGACGTGTATTTCAGAAGAATCACAGCTGAAATGTCAAAGCAATATAACAAGTAAGAATGCTCAGACACTTTATTTAGAATAACATTGCTCTTATTGTTTATTCACAACGTGGCCAAGCTGGGGATAGCTCTTCAAGCGCAACCAAACGCAAATTAATCCAACAGTATGCCATCAAGGTGTCGTGCATGTATCGCCCAACATGGCGGACACACCAGATATTGATCAGTCATTGTGTCATCCTTGTCACTTCATCACCAAACATATACAGATTAGGGACGGTGGAGTATTCTTGTGGTCCTAGCATTCGCTTGTAACATCGAAAGCCCGGGTTTGATTCCCTACAGGGATACAATGCGTGAATATTGCTAAAAGTGGCGTAAAACATAACTCAATCACTCATACATATTATGACACTGTAACAAGTGAACATCGCCTTCTGGCCATGGAGTGTACCACTATGCGTTGTTTTTCTTATTGGTATAGAAAGACTGTGCTTACTGTTGCAGCCATTTTCCGTCCAGCCAGCTTTACATGAACAGTGACCGTTTGCCGTGTTACACGTTGACCTACACCCAGCTCCACACGGTGTACAGGATTGCCCGTCCTTGTAATAGCCGCCACTGCATGCTGTAAATTAACACAATTGTTCCAATGAGAAGTAGACAATCATTGTTAACTGAGTATTTTGTACCAAACATCGTGAGCGTTGTATGGCTAGCATACTGTATCGTTGGGCACTGCAGGACCGTACTTCCAGTGTTTTGTGTTATACTTGAAAACAACTCACATAAAATGATAGCAATAATATTTTGCTTCACTGTGCGATGATATCTGGTGTATTCTCAGCACAGGTGTCGGCAAAATTACAATCAACCGAAATAATTGTGATACGATCCGTCTACTATTAGCCAAAAAAGAGCAGAGAACCTTCAGTATCACAGTAGCATTTAAGTACCATACAGTTATGCATAATGAACTGCTCATGCCACAGCAACGCACTACATCAGTATATATGATACAAAAAGAATACCAGTTTCAAATGAATTTTCAACGTATTTTTCCAACTGATGCATTTGCGAAAAATCTAGGCTCTTCACGTCTGTCTTCTGGAGCAATGCCAACAGATCCAGGTCAGCTAATATTTGATTTGCAATAGTGAGGATTCCAGGGTTTCGCTAAAAGGATCATGCCCCACTGGTGTATCCTTTGAAATCTTCGTAAGAAGAACATGAGAAATGGCTATTGACCATTATACAACGAAGCATAAAGTTTTCCATGACAATTTCCAGTATGCGGTACAAAACCATTACTTTCTGCTTTCTAGTAATTCTGGACGTGTATTTCAGAAGAATCACAGCTGAAATGTCAAAGCAATATAACAAGTAAGAATGCTTAGACACTTTATTTAGAATAACATTGCTCTTATTGTTTATTAACAACGTGGCCAAGCTGGGGATAGCTCTTTAAGCACAACCAAACGCAAATTAATTCAACAGTATGCCATCAAGTGTCGTGCATGTATCGCCCAACATGGCGGACACACGAGATATTGATCAGTCATTGTGTCATCCTTGTCACTTCATCACCAAACTTATACAGATTAGGGACGGTGGGGTATTCTTGTGGTCCTAGCATTCGCTTGTAACATCGAAAGCCCGTGTTTGATTTCCTACATGGATACAATGCGTGAATATTGCTAAAAGTGGCGTAAAACATAACTCAATCACTCATCCATATTATGACACTGTAACAAGTGAACATCGCCTTCTGGCCATGGAGTGTACCACTATGCGTTGTGTTCTCATTGGTATAGAAAGACTGTGCTTACTGTTGCAGCCATTTCCCGTCCAGCCAGCTTTACATGAACAGTGACCGTTTGCCGTGTTACACGTTGACCTACACCCAGCTCCACACGGTGTACAGGATTGCCCGTCCTTGTAATAGCCGCCACTGCATGCTGTAAATTAACACAATGTTTTCCAATGAGAAGTAGATTTTGTACGAAACATCGTGAGCGTTGTATGGTTAGCATACTGTATCGTTGGGTACTGTAGGACCGTACTTCCAGTGTTTTGTGTTATACTTGAAAACAACTCACATAAAATGATAGCAATAATATTTTGCTTCACTGTGCGATGATATCTGGTGTATTCTCAGCACAGGTGCCGACAAAATTAGAATCAACCGAAATAGTTGTGAAACGATCCGTCTACTATTAGCCACACAAGAGCAGAGAACCTTCAGTATCACAGTAGCATTTAAGTACCATATAGTTATGCATAATGAACTGCTCATGCCACAACAACGCACTACATCAGTATATATGATACAAAAAGAATACCAGTTTCAAATGAATTGTCAACGTATTTTTCCAACTGATGCAGTTACGAAAAATCTAGGCTCTTCACGTCTGTCTTCTGGAGCAATGCCAACAGATCCAGGTCAGCTAATATTTGATTTGCAATAGTGAGGATTCCAGGGGTTCGCCAAAAGGATCATGCCCCACTGGTGTATCCTTTGAAATCTTCGTAAGAAGTTCATGAGAAATGGCTATTGACCATTATACAACGAAGCATAAAGTTTTCCATGACAATTTCCAGTATGCGGTACAAAACCATTACTTTCTGCTTTCTAGTAATTCTGGACGTGTATTTCAGAAGAATCACAGCTGAAATGTCAAAGCAATATAACAAGTAAGAATGCTCAGAGACTTTATTTAGAATAACATTGCTGTAATTGTTTATAAACAACGTGGCCAAGCTGGGGATTGCTCTTCAAGCACAACCAAACCTCACATTAATCCAACAGTATGCCATCAAGGTGTCGTGCATGTATCGCCCAACATGGCGGACACACCAGATATTGATCAGTCATTGTGTCATCCTTGTCACTTCATCACCAAACATATCCAGATTAGGGACGTTGGGGTATTCTTGTGGTCCTAGCATTCGCTTGTAACATCGAAAGCCCGGGTTTGATTCCCTTCATGGATACAATGCGTGAATATTGCTAAAAGTGGCGTAAAACATAACTCACTCACTCATACATATTATGACACTGTAACAAGTGAACATCGCCTTCTGGCCATGGAGTGTACCACTATGCGTTGTGTTCTCATTGGTATAGAAAGACTGTGCTTACTGTTGCAGCCATATCCCGTCCAGCGAGCTTTACATGAACAGTGACCGTTTGCCGTGTTACACGTTGACCTACACCCAGCTCCACACGGTGTACAGGATTGCCCGTCCTTGTAATAGCCGCCACTGCATGCTGTAAATTAACACACATTGTTCCAAAAAGAAGAAGACAGTCATTGATAAACTGGGTATTTTGTAAGAAACATCGTGAGCGTTGTATGGCTAGCATACTGTATCGTTGGGCACTGCAGGACCGGACTTCCAGTGTTTTGTGTTATACTTGAAAACAACTCACACAAAATGATGGCAATATTTTTTTGCTTCACTGTGCGATGATATCTGGTGTATTCTCAGCACAGGTGCCGGCAAAATTAGAATCAACCGAAATAGTTGTGAAACGATCCGTCTACTATTAGCCCAAAAAGAGCAGAGAACCTTCAGTATCACAATAGTATTTAAGTACCATACAGTTATGCATAATGAACTGATCATGCCACAGCAACGCACTACATCAGTATATACGATACAAAAAGAATTCCAGTTTCAAATGAATTTTCAACGTATTTTTCCAACTGATGCATTTGTGAAAAATCTAGGCTCTTCACGTCTGTCTTCTGAAGCAATGCCAAAAGATCCAGGTCAGCTAATATTTGATTTGCAATAGTGAGGATTCCAGGGTTTCGCTAAAAGGATCATGCCCCACTGGTGTATCCTTTGAAATCTTCGTAAGAAGAACATGAGAAATGGCTATTGACCATTTTACAACGAAGCATAAAGTTTTCCATGACAATTTCCAGTATTCCGTACAAAACCATTACTTTCTGCTTTCTAGTAATTCTGGACGTGTATTTCAGAAGAATCACAGCTGAAATGTCAAAGCAATATAACAAGTAAGAATGCTCAGACACTTTATTTAGAATAACATTGCTCTAATTGTTTATTAACAACGTGGCCAAGCTGGGGATTGCTCTTCAAGCACAACCAAACCTCACATTAATCCAACAGTATGCCATCAAGGTGTCGTGCATGTATCGCCCAACATGGCGGACACACGAGATATTGATCAGTCATTGTGTCATCCTTGTCACTTCATCACCAAACGTATACAGATTAGGGACGTTGGGGTATTCTTGTGGTCCTAGCATTCGCTTGTAACATCGAGAGCCCGGGTTTGATTCCCTACATGGATACAATGCGTGAATATTGCCAAAAGTGGCGTAAAACATAACTCACTCACTCATACATATTATGACACTGTAACAAGTGAACATCGCCTTCTGGCCATGGAGTGTACCACTATGCTTTGTGTTCTCATTGGTATAGAAAGACTGTGCTTACTGTTGCAGCCATTTCCCGTCCAGCCAGCTTTACATGAACAGTGACCGTTTGCCGTGTTACACGTTGACCTACACCCAGCTCCACACGGTGTACAGGATTGCCCGTCCTTGTAATAGCCGCCACTGCATGCTGTAAATTAACACCAATTGTTCCAATGAGAAGTAGATTTTGTACGAAACATCGTGAGCGTTGTATGGTTAGCAACTGTATCGTTGGGCACTGCAGGACCGGACTTCCAGTGTTTTGTGTTATACTTGAAAACAACTCACATAAAATGATAGCATTAATATTTTGCTTCACTGTGCGATGATATCTGGTGTATTCTCAGCACAGGTGCCGGCAAAATTAGAATCAACCGAAATAATTGTGAAACGATCCGTTTATTAGCCAGAAAAGAGCAGAGAACCTTCAGTATCACAGTAGCATTTAAGTACCATACAGTTATGCATAATGAACTGCTCATGCCACAGCAACGCACTACATCAGTATATATGATACAAAAAGAATACCAGTTTCAAATGAATTTTCAACGTATTTTTCCAACTGATGCAGTTACGAAAAATCTAGGCTCTTCACGTCTGTCTTCTGGAGCAATGCCAAAAGATCCAGGTCAGCTAATATTTGATTTGCAATAGTGAGGATTCCAGGGGTTCGCTAAAAGGATCATGCCCCACTGGTGTATCCTTTGACATCTTCGTAAGAAGAACATGAGAAATGGCTATTGACCATTATACAACGAAGCATAAAGTTTTTCATGACAATTTGCAGTATTCCGTACAAAACCATTACTTTCTGCTTTCTAGTTATTCTGGACGTGTATTTCAGAAGAATCACAGCTGAAATGTCAAAGCAATATAACAAGTAAGAATGCTCAGAGACTTTATTTAGAATAACATTGCTGTAATTGTTTATTAACAACGTGGCCAAGCTGGGGATTGCTCTTCAAGCACAACCAAACCTCACATTAATCCAACAGTATGCCATCAAGGTGTCGTGCATGTATCGCCCAACATGGCGGACACACGAGATATTGATCCGTCATTGTGTCATCCTTGTCACTTCATCACCAAACATATACAGATTAGGGACGGTAGAGTATTCTTGTGGTCCTAGCATTCGCTTGTAACATCGAAAGCCCGGGTTTGATTTCCTACAGGGATACAATGCGTGAATATTGCTAAAAGTGGCGTAAAACATAACTCACTCACTCATACATATTATGACACTGTAACAAGTGAACATCGCCTTCTGGCCATGGAGTGTACCACTATGCGTTGTGTTCTCATTGGTATAGAAAGACTGTGCTTACTGTTGCAGCCATTTTCCGTCCAGCGAGCTTTACATGAACAGTGACCGTTTGCCGTGTTACACGTTGACCTACACCCAGCTCCACACGGTGTACAGGATTGCCCGTCCTTGTAATAGCCGCCACTGCATGCTGTAAATTAACACAATTGTTCCAATGAGAAGTAGACAATCATTGATAAACTGAGTATTTTGTACCAAACATCGTGAGCGTTGTATGGCTAGCATACTGTATCGTTGGGCACTGCAGGACCGTACTTCCAGTGTTTTGTGTTATACTTGAAAACAACTCACATAAAATGATAGCAATAATATTTTGCTTCACTGTGCGATGATATCTGGTGTATTCTCAGCACAGGTGTCGGCAAAATTACAATCAACCGAAATAATTGTGATACGATCCGTCTACTATTAGCCAAAAAAGAGCAGAGAACCTTCAGTATCACAGTAGCATTTAAGTACCATACAGTTATGCATAATGAACTGCTCATGCCACAGCAACGCACTACATCAGTATATATGATACAAAAAGAATACCAGTTTCAAATGAATTTTCAACGTATTTTTCCAACTGATGCATTTGCGAAAAATCTAGGCTCTTCACGTCTGTCTTCTGGAGCAATGCCAACAGATCCAGGTCAGCTAATATTTGATTTGCAATAGTGAGGATTCCAGGGTTTCGCTAAAAGGATCATGCCCCACTGGTGTATCCTTTGAAATCTTCGTAAGAAGAACATGAGAAATGGCTATTGACCATTATACAACGAAGCATAAAGTTTTCCATGACAATTTCCAGTATGCGGTACAAAACCATTACTTTCTGCTTTCTAGTAATTCTGGACGTGTATTTCAGAAGAATCACAGCTGAAATGTCAAAGCAATATAACAAGTAAGAATGCTCAGACACTTTATTTAGAATAACATTGCTCTTATTGTTTATTCACAACGTGGCCAAGCTGGGGATAGCTCTTTAAGCACAACCAAACGCAAATTAATTCAACAGTATGCCATCAAGGTGTCGTGCATGTATCGCCCAACATGGCGGACACACGAGATATTGATCAGTCATTGTGTCATCCTTGTCACTTCATCACCAAACTTATACAGATTAGGGACGGTGGGGTATTCTTGTGGTCCTAGCATTCGCTTGTAACATCGAAAGCCCGTGTTTGATTTCCTACATGGATACAATGCGTGAATATTGCTAAAAGTGGCGTAAAACATAACTCAATCACTCATACATATTATGACACTGTAACAAGTGAACATCGCCTTCTGGCCATGGAGTGTACCACTATACGTTGTGTTCTCATTGGTATAGAAAGACTGTACTTACTGTTGCAGCCATTTCCCGTCCAGCGAGCTTTACATGAACAGTGACCGTTTGCCGTGTTACACGTTGACCTACACCCAGCTCCACACGGTGTACAGGATTGCCCGTCCTTGTAATAGCCGCCACTGCATGCTGTAAATTAACACAATGTTTTCCAATGAGAAGTAGATTTTGTACGAAACATCGTGAGCGTTGTATGGCTAGCATACTGTATCGTTGGGTACTGTAGGACCGGTACTTCCAGTGTTTTGTGTTATACTTGAAAACAACTCACATAAAATGATAGCAATAATATTTTGCTTCACTGTGCGATGATATCTGGTGTATTCTCAGCACCGGTGCCGGCAAAATTAGAATCAACCGAAATAATTGTGAAACGATCCGTTTATTAGCCAGAAAAGAGCAGAGAACCTTCAGTATCACAGTAGCATTTAAGTACCATACAGTTATGCATAATGAACTGCTCATGCCACAGCAACGCACTGCATCAGTATATATGATACAAAAAGAATACCAGTTTCAAATGAATTTTCAACGTATTTTTCCAACTGATGCAGTTACGAAAAATCTAGGCTCTTCACGTCTGTCTTCTGGAGCAATGCCAAAAGATCCAGGTCAGCTAATATTTGATTTGCAATAGTGAGGATTCCAGGGTTTCGCTAAAAGGATCATGCCCCACTGGTGTATCCTTTGACATCTTCGTAAGAAGAACATGAGAAATGGCTATTGGCCATTATACAACGAAGCATAAAGTTTTTCATGACAATTTGCAGTATTCCGTACAAAACCATTACTTTCTGCTTTCTAGTAATTCTGGACGTGTATTTCAGAAGAATCACAGCTGAAATGTCAAAGCAATATAACAAGTAAGAATGCTCAGACACTTTATTTAGAATAACATTACTCTAATTGTTTATTAACAACGTGGCCGAGCTGGGAATAGCTCTTTAAGCACAACCAAACCTCACATTAATCCAACAGTATGCCATCAAGGTGTCGTGCATGTATCGCCCAACATGGCGGACACACCAGATATTGATCAGTCATTGTGTCATCCTTGTCACTTCATCACCAAACTTATACAGATTAGGGACGGTGGGGTATTCTTGTGGTCCTAGCATTCGCCCGGGTTTGATTCCCTACATGGATACAATGCGTGAATATTGCTAAAAGTGGCGTAAAACATAACTCAATCACTCATACATATTATGACACTGTAATAAGTGAACATCGCCTTCTGGCCATGGAGTGTTCCACAATGCGTTGTGTTCTCATTGGTATAGAAAGACTGTGCTTACTGTTGCAGCCATTTCCCGTCCAGCGAGCTTTACATGAACAGTGACCGTTTGCCGTGTTACACGTTGACCTACACCCAGCTCCACACGGTGTACAGGATTGCCCGTCCTTGTAATAGCCGCCACTGCATGCTGTAAATTAACACACATTGTTCCAATGAGAAGTAGATGTTGTACGAAACTTCGTGAGCGTTGTATGGTTAGCATACTGTATCGTTGGGCACTGTAGGACCGGTACTTCCAGTGTTTTGTGTTATACTTGAAAACAACTCACATAAAATGATAGCAATAATATTTTGCTTCACTGTGCGATGATATCTGGTGTATTCTCAGCACAGGTGCCGGCAAAATTAGAATCAACCGAAATAGTTGTGAAACGATCCGTCTACTATTAGCCAAAAAAGAGCAGAGAACCTTCAGTATCACAATAGCATCTAAGTACCATACAGTTATGCATAATGAACTGATCATGCCACAGCAACGCACTACATCAGTATATATGATACAAAAAGAATACCAGTTTCAAATGAATTGTCAACGTATTTTTCCAACTGATGCAGTTACGAAAAATCAGGGCTCTTCACGTCTGTCTTCTGGAGCAATGCCAACAGATCCAGGTCAGCTAATATTTGATTTGCAATAGTAAGGATTCCAGGGTTTCGTTAAAAGGATCATGCCCCACTGGTGTATGATTTGAAATCTTCGTAAGAAGAACATGAGAAATGGCTATTGACCATTATACAACGAAGCATAAAGTTTTCCATGACAATTTCCAGTATTCGGTACAAAACCATTACTTTCTGCTTTCTAGTAATTCTGGACGTGTATTTCAGAAGAATCACAGCTGAAATGTCAAAGCAATATAACAAGTAAGAATGCTCAGACACTTTATTTAGAATAACATTGCTCTAATTGTTTATTAACAACGTGGCCAAGCTGGGGATTGCTCTTCAAGCACAACCAAACCTCACATTAATCCAACAGTATGCCATCAAGGTGTCGTGCATGTATCGCCCAACATGGCGGACACACGAGATATTGATCAGTCATTGTGTCATCCTTGTCACTTCATCACCAAACGTATACAGATTAGGGACGTTGGGGTATTCTTGTGGTCCTAGCATTCGCTTGTAACATCGAGAGCCCGGGTTTGATTCCCTACATGGATACAATGCGTGAATATTGCCAAAAGTGGCGTAAAACATAACTCACTCACTCATACATATTATGACACTGTAACAAGTGAACATCGCCTTCTGGCCATGGAGTGTACCACTATGCTTTGTGTTCTCATTGGTATAGAAAGACTGTGCTTACTGTTGCAGCCATTTCCCGTCCAGCCAGCTTTACATGAACAGTGACCGTTTGCCGTGTTACACGTTGACCTACACCCAGCTCCACACGGTGTACAGGATTGCCCGTCCTTGTAATAGCCGCCACTGCATGCTGTAAATTAACACCAATTGTTCCAATGAGAAGTAGATTTTGTACGAAACATCGTGAGCGTTGTATGGTTAGCAACTGTATCGTTGGGCACTGCAGGACCGGACTTCCAGTGTTTTGTGTTATACTTGAAAACAACTCACATAAAATGATAGCAATAATATTTTGCTTCACTGTGCGATGATATCTGGTGTATTCTCAGCACAGGTGCCGGCAAAATTAGAATCAACCGAAATAATTGTGAAACGATCCGTTTATTAGCCAGAAAAGAGCAGAGAACCTTCAGTATCACAGTAGCATTTAAGTACCATACAGTTATGCATAATGAACTGCTCATGCCACAGCAACGCACTACATCAGTATATATGATACAAAAAGAATACCAGTTTCAAATGAATTGTCAACGTATTTTTCCAACTGATGCAGTTACGAAAAATCAGGGCTCTTCACGTCTGTCTTCTGGAGCAATGCCAACAGATCCAGGTCAGCTAATATTTGATTTGCAATAGTAAGGATTCCAGGGTTTCGTTAAAAGGATCATGCCCCACTGGTGTATGATTTGAAATCTTCGTAAGAAGAACATGAGAAATGGCTATTGACCATTATACAACGAAGCATAAAGTTTTCCATGACAATTTCCAGTATTCGGTACAAAACCATTACTTTCTGCTTTCTAGTAATTCTGGACGTGTATTTCAGAAGAATCACAGCTGAAATGTCAAAGCAATATAACAAGTAAGAATGCTCAGACACTTTATTTAGAATAACATTGCTCTAATTGTTTATTAACAACGTGGCCAAGCTGGGGATTGCTCTTCAAGCACAACCAAACCTCACATTAATCCAACAGTATGCCATCAAGGTGTCGTGCATGTATCGCCCAACATGGCGGACACACGAGATATTGATCAGTCATTGTGTCATCCTTGTCACTTCATCACCAAACGTATACAGATTAGGGACGTTGGGGTATTCTTGTGGTCCTAGCATTCGCTTGTAACATCGAGAGCCCGGGTTTGATTCCCTACATGGATACAATGCGTGAATATTGCCAAAAGTGGCGTAAAACATAACTCACTCACTCATACATATTATGACACTGTAACAAGTGAACATCGCCTTCTGGCCATGGAGTGTACCACTATGCTTTGTGTTCTCATTGGTATAGAAAGACTGTGCTTACTGTTGCAGCCATTTCCCGTCCAGCCAGCTTTACATGAACAGTGACCGTTTGCCGTGTTACACGTTGACCTACACCCAGCTCCACACGGTGTACAGGATTGCCCGTCCTTGTAATAGCCGCCACTGCATGCTGTAAATTAACACACATTGTTCCAATGAGAAGTAGATGTTGTACGAAACTTCGTGAGCGTTGTATGGTTAGCATACTGTATCGTTGGGCACTGTAGGACCGGTACTTCCAGTGTTTTGTGTTATACTTGAAAACAACTCACATAAAATGATAGCAATAATATTTTGCTTCACTGTGCGATGATATCTGGTGTATTCTCAGCACAGGTGCCGGCAAAATTAGAATCAACCGAAATAGTTGTGAAACGATCCGTCTACTATTAGCCAAAAAAGAGCAGAGAACCTTCAGTATCACAATAGCATCTAAGTACCATACAGTTATGCATAATGAACTGATCATGCCACAGCAACGCACTACATCAGTATATATGATACAAAAAGAATACCAGTTTCAAATGAATTGTCAACGTATTTTTCCAACTGATGCAGTTACGAAAAATCAGGGCTCTTCACGTCTGTCTTCTGGAGCAATGCCAACAGATCCAGGTCAGCTAATATTTGATTTGCAATAGTAAGGATTCCAGGGTTTCGTTAAAAGGATCATGCCCCACTGGTGTATGATTTGAAATCTTCGTAAGAAGAACATGAGAAATGGCTATTGACCATTATACAACGAAGCATAAAGTTTTCCATGACAATTTCCAGTATTCGGTACAAAACCATTACTTTCTGCTTTCTAGTAATTCTGGACGTGTATTTCAGAAGAATCACAGCTGAAATGTCAAAGCAATATAACAAGTAAGAATGCTCAGACACTTTATTTAGAATAACATTGCTCTAATTGTTTATTAACAACGTGGCCAAGCTGGGGATTGCTCTTCAAGCACAACCAAACCTCACATTAATCCAACAGTATGCCATCAAGGTGTCGTGCATGTATCGCCCAACATGGCGGACACACGAGATATTGATCAGTCATTGTGTCATCCTTGTCACTTCATCACCAAACGTATACAGATTAGGGACGTTGGGGTATTCTTGTGGTCCTAGCATTCGCTTGTAACATCGAGAGCCCGGGTTTGATTCCCTACATGGATACAATGCGTGAATATTGCCAAAAGTGGCGTAAAACATAACTCACTCACTCATACATATTATGACACTGTAACAAGTGAACATCGCCTTCTGGCCATGGAGTGTACCACTATGCTTTGTGTTCTCATTGGTATAGAAAGACTGTGCTTACTGTTGCAGCCATTTCCCGTCCAGCCAGCTTTACATGAACAGTGACCGTTTGCCGTGTTACACGTTGACCTACACCCAGCTCCACACGGTGTACAGGATTGCCCGTCCTTGTAATAGCCGCCACTGCATGCTGTAAATTAACACCAATTGTTCCAATGAGAAGTAGATTTTGTACGAAACATCGTGAGCGTTGTATGGTTAGCAACTGTATCGTTGGGCACTGCAGGACCGGACTTCCAGTGTTTTGTGTTATACTTGAAAACAACTCACATAAAATGATAGCAATAATATTTTGCTTCACTGTGCGATGATATCTGGTGTATTCTCAGCACAGGTGCCGGCAAAATTAGAATCAACCGAAATAATTGTGAAACGATCCGTTTATTAGCCAGAAAAGAGCAGAGAACCTTCAGTATCACAGTAGCATTTAAGTACCATACAGTTATGCATAATGAACTGCTCATGCCACAGCAACGCACTACATCAGTATATATGATACAAAAAGAATACCAGTTTCAAATGAATTTTCAACGTATTTTTCCAACTGATGCAGTTACGAAAAATCTAGGCTCTTCACGTCTGTCTTCTGGAGCAATGCCAAAAGATCCAGGTCAGCTAATATTTGATTTGCAATAGTGAGGATTCCAGGGGTTCGCTAAAAGGATCATGCCCCACTGGTGTATCCTTTGACATCTTCGTAAGAAGAACATGAGAAATGGCTATTGACCATTATACAACGAAGCATAAAGTTTTTCATGACAATTTGCAGTATTCCGTACAAAACCATTACTTTCTGCTTTCTAGTTATTCTGGACGTGTATTTCAGAAGAATCACAGCTGAAATGTCAAAGCAATATAACAAGTAAGAATGCTCAGAGACTTTATTTAGAATAACATTGCTGTAATTGTTTATTAACAACGTGGCCAAGCTGGGGATTGCTCTTCAAGCACAACCAAACCTCACATTCATCCAACAGTATGCCATCAAGGTGTCGTGCATGTATCGCCCAACATGGCGGACACACGAGATATTGATCAGTCATTGTGTCATCCTTGTCACTTCATCACCAAACATATACAGATTAGGGACGGTAGAGTATTCTTGTGGTCCTAGCATTCGCTTGTAACATCGAAAGCCCGGGTTTGATTTCCTACAGGGATACAATGCGTGAATATTGCTAAAAGTGGCGTAAAACATAACTCACTCACTCATACATATTATGACACTGTAACAAGTGAACATCGCCTTCTGGCCATGGAGTGTACCACTATGCGTTGTGTTCTCATTGGTATAGAAAGACTGTGCTTACTGTTGCAGCCATTTTCCGTCCAGCGAGCTTTACATGAACAGTGACCGTTTGCCGTGTTACACGTTGACCTACACCCAGCTCCACACGGTGTACAGGATTGCCCGTCCTTGTAATAGCCGCCACTGCATGCTGTAAATTAACACAATTGTTCCAATGAGAAGTAGACAATCATTGATAAACTGAGTATTTTGTACCAAACATCGTGAGCGTTGTATGGCTAGCATACTGTATCGTTGGGCACTGCAGGACCGTACTTCCAGTGTTTTGTGTTATACTTGAAAACAACTCACATAAAATGATAGCAATAATATTTTGCTTCACTGTGCGATGATATCTGGTGTATTCTCAGCACAGGTGTCGGCAAAATTACAATCAACCGAAATAATTGTGATACGATCCGTCTACTATTAGCCAAAAAAGAGCAGAGAACCTTCAGTATCACAGTAGCATTTAAGTACCATACAGTTATGCATAATGAACTGCTCATGCCACAGCAACGCACTACATCAGTATATATGATACAAAAAGAATACCAGTTTCAAATGAATTTTCAACGTATTTTTCCAACTGATGCATTTGCGAAAAATCTAGGCTCTTCACGTCTGTCTTCTGGAGCAATGCCAACAGATCCAGGTCAGCTAATATTTGATTTGCAATAGTGAGGATTCCAGGGTTTCGCTAAAAGGATCATGCCCCACTGGTGTATCCTTTGAAATCTTCGTAAGAAGAACATGAGAAATGGCTATTGACCATTATACAACGAAGCATAAAGTTTTCCATGACAATTTCCAGTATGCGGTACAAAACCATTACTTTCTGCTTTCTAGTAATTCTGGACGTGTATTTCAGAAGAATCACAGCTGAAATGTCAAAGCAATATAACAAGTAAGAATGCTCAGACACTTTATTTAGAATAACATTGCTCTTATTGTTTATTCACAACGTGGCCAAGCTGGGGATAGCTCTTTAAGCACAACCAAACGCAAATTAATTCAACAGTATGCCATCAAGGTGTCGTGCATGTATCGCCCAACATGGCGGACACACGAGATATTGATCAGTCATTGTGTCATCCTTGTCACTTCATCACCAAACTTATACAGATTAGGGACGGTGGGGTATTCTTGTGGTCCTAGCATTCGCTTGTAACATCGAAAGCCCGTGTTTGATTTCCTACATGGATACAATGCGTGAATATTGCTAAAAGTGGCGTAAAACATAACTCAATCACTCATACATATTATGACACTGTAACAAGTGAACATCGCCTTCTGGCCATGGAGTGTACCACTATACGTTGTGTTCTCATTGGTATAGAAAGACTGTACTTACTGTTGCAGCCATTTCCCGTCCAGCGAGCTTTACATGAACAGTGACCGTTTGCCGTGTTACACGTTGACCTACACCCAGCTCCACACGGTGTACAGGATTGCCCGTCCTTGTAATAGCCGCCACTGCATGCTGTAAATTAACACAATGTTTTCCAATGAGAAGTAGATTTTGTACGAAACATCGTGAGCGTTGTATGGCTAGCATACTGTATCGTTGGGTACTGTAGGACCGGTACTTCCAGTGTTTTGTGTTATACTTGAAAACAACTCACATAAAATGATAGCAATAATATTTTGCTTCACTGTGCGATGATATCTGGTGTATTCTCAGCACCGGTGCCGGCAAAATTAGAATCAACCGAAATAATTGTGAAACGATCCGTTTATTAGCCAGAAAAGAGCAGAGAACCTTCAGTATCACAGTAGCATTTAAGTACCATACAGTTATGCATAATGAACTGCTCATGCCACAGCAACGCACTACATCAGTATATATGATACAAAAAGAATACCAGTTTCAAATGAATTTTCAACGTATTTTTCCAACTGATGCAGTTACGAAAAATCTAGGCTCTTCACGTCTGTCTTCTGGAGCAATGCCAAAAGATCCAGGTCAGCTAATATTTGATTTGCAATAGTGAGGATTCCAGGGGTTCGCTAAAAGGATCATGCCCCACTGGTGTATCCTTTGACATCTTCGTAAGAAGAACATGAGAAATGGCTATTGACCATTATACAACGAAGCATAAAGTTTTTCATGACAATTTGCAGTATTCCGTACAAAACCATTACTTTCTGCTTTCTAGTTATTCTGGACGTGTATTTCAGAAGAATCACAGCTGAAATGTCAAAGCAATATAACAAGTAAGAATGCTCAGAGACTTTATTTAGAATAACATTGCTGTAATTGTTTATTAACAACGTGGCCAAGCTGGGGATTGCTCTTCAAGCACAACCAAACCTCACATTAATCCAACAGTATGCCATCAAGGTGTCGTGCATGTATCGCCCAACATGGCGGACACACGAGATATTGATCCGTCATTGTGTCATCCTTGTCACTTCATCACCAAACATATACAGATTAGGGACGGTAGAGTATTCTTGTGGTCCTAGCATTCGCTTGTAACATCGAAAGCCCGGGTTTGATTTCCTACAGGGATACAATGCGTGAATATTGCTAAAAGTGGCGTAAAACATAACTCACTCACTCATACATATTATGACACTGTAACAAGTGAACATCGCCTTCTGGCCATGGAGTGTACCACTATGCGTTGTGTTCTCATTGGTATAGAAAGACTGTGCTTACTGTTGCAGCCATTTTCCGTCCAGCGAGCTTTACATGAACAGTGACCGTTTGCCGTGTTACACGTTGACCTACACCCAGCTCCACACGGTGTACAGGATTGCCCGTCCTTGTAATAGCCGCCACTGCATGCTGTAAATTAACACAATTGTTCCAATGAGAAGTAGACAATCATTGATAAACTGAGTATTTTGTACCAAACATCGTGAGCGTTGTATGGCTAGCATACTGTATCGTTGGGCACTGCAGGACCGTACTTCCAGTGTTTTGTGTTATACTTGAAAACAACTCACATAAAATGATAGCAATAATATTTTGCTTCACTGTGCGATGATATCTGGTGTATTCTCAGCACAGGTGTCGGCAAAATTACAATCAACCGAAATAATTGTGATACGATCCGTCTACTATTAGCCAAAAAAGAGCAGAGAACCTTCAGTATCACAGTAGCATTTAAGTACCATACAGTTATGCATAATGAACTGCTCATGCCACAGCAACGCACTACATCAGTATATATGATACAAAAAGAATACCAGTTTCAAATGAATTTTCAACGTATTTTTCCAACTGATGCATTTGCGAAAAATCTAGGCTCTTCACGTCTGTCTTCTGGAGCAATGCCAACAGATCCAGGTCAGCTAATATTTGATTTGCAATAGTGAGGATTCCAGGGTTTCGCTAAAAGGATCATGCCCCACTGGTGTATCCTTTGAAATCTTCGTAAGAAGAACATGAGAAATGGCTATTGACCATTATACAACGAAGCATAAAGTTTTCCATGACAATTTCCAGTATGCGGTACAAAACCATTACTTTCTGCTTTCTAGTAATTCTGGACGTGTATTTCAGAAGAATCACAGCTGAAATGTCAAAGCAATATAACAAGTAAGAATGCTCAGACACTTTATTTAGAATAACATTGCTCTTATTGTTTATTCACAACGTGGCCAAGCTGGGGATAGCTCTTTAAGCACAACCAAACGCAAATTAATTCAACAGTATGCCATCAAGGTGTCGTGCATGTATCGCCCAACATGGCGGACACACGAGATATTGATCAGTCATTGTGTCATCCTTGTCACTTCATCACCAAACTTATACAGATTAGGGACGGTGGGGTATTCTTGTGGTCCTAGCATTCGCTTGTAACATCGAAAGCCCGTGTTTGATTTCCTACATGGATACAATGCGTGAATATTGCTAAAAGTGGCGTAAAACATAACTCAATCACTCATACATATTATGACACTGTAACAAGTGAACATCGCCTTCTGGCCATGGAGTGTACCACTATACGTTGTGTTCTCATTGGTATAGAAAGACTGTACTTACTGTTGCAGCCATTTCCCGTCCAGCGAGCTTTACATGAACAGTGACCGTTTGCCGTGTTACACGTTGACCTACACCCAGCTCCACACGGTGTACAGGATTGCCCGTCCTTGTAATAGCCGCCACTGCATGCTGTAAATTAACACAATGTTTTCCAATGAGAAGTAGATTTTGTACGAAACATCGTGAGCGTTGTATGGCTAGCATACTGTATCGTTGGGTACTGTAGGACCGGTACTTCCAGTGTTTTGTGTTATACTTGAAAACAACTCACATAAAATGATAGCAATAATATTTTGCTTCACTGTGCGATGATATCTGGTGTATTCTCAGCACCGGTGCCGGCAAAATTAGAATCAACCGAAATAATTGTGAAACGATCCGTTTATTAGCCAGAAAAGAGCAGAGAACCTTCAGTATCACAGTAGCATTTAAGTACCATACAGTTATGCATAATGAACTGCTCATGCCACAGCAACGCACTACATCAGTATATATGATACAAAAAGAATACCAGTTTCAAATGAATTTTCAACGTATTTTTCCAACTGATGCAGTTACGAAAAATCTAGGCTCTTCACGTCTGTCTTCTGGAGCAATGCCAAAAGATCCAGGTCAGCTAATATTTGATTTGCAATAGTGAGGATTCCAGGGTTTCGCTAAAAGGATCATGCCCCACTGGTGTATCCTTTGACATCTTCGTAAGAAGAACATGAGAAATGGCTATTGACCATTATACAACGAAGCATAAAGTTTTTCATGACAATTTGCAGTATTCCGTACAAAACCATTACTTTCTGCTTTCTAGTAATTCTGGACGTGTATTTCAGAAGAATCACAGCTGAAATGTCAAAGCAATATAACAAGTAAGAATGCTCAGACACTTTATTTAGAATAACATTACTCTAATTGTTTATTAACAACGTGGCCGAGCTGGGAATAGCTCTTTAAGCACAACCAAACCTCACATTAATCCAACAGTATGCCATCAAGGTGTCGTGCATGTATCGCCCAACATGGCGGACACACCAGATATTGATCAGTCATTGTGTCATCCTTGTCACTTCATCACCAAACTTATACAGATTAGGGACGGTGGGGTATTCTTGTGGTCCTAGCATTCGCCCGGGTTTGATTCCCTACATGGATACAATGCGTGAATATTGCTAAAAGTGGCGTAAAACATAACTCACTCACTCATACATATTATGACACTGTAATAAGTGAACATCGCCTTCTGGCCATGGAGTGTTCCACAATGCGTTGTGTTCTCATTGGTATAGAAAGACTGTGCTTACTGTTGCAGCCATTTCCCGTCCAGCGAGCTTTACATGAACAGTGACCGTTTGCCGTGTTACACGTTGACCTACACCCAGCTCCACACGGTGTACAGGATTGCCCGTCCTTGTAATAGCCGCCACTGCATGCTGTAAATTAACACACATTGTTCCAATGAGAAGTAGATGTTGTACGAAACTTCGTGAGCGTTGTATGGTTAGCATACTGTATCGTTGGGCACTGTAGGACCGGTACTTCCAGTGTTTTGTGTTATACTTGAAAACAACTCACATAAAATGATAGCAATAATATTTTGCTTCACTGTGCGATGATATCTGGTGTATTCTCAGCACAGGTGCCGGCAAAATTAGAATCAACCGAAATAGTTGTGAAACGATCCGTCTACTATTAGCCAAAAAAGAGCAGAGAACCTTCAGTATCACAATAGCATCTAAGTACCATACAGTTATGCATAATGAACTGATCATGCCACAGCAACGCACTACATCAGTATATATGATACAAAAAGAATACCAGTTTCAAATGAATTGTCAACGTATTTTTCCAACTGATGCAGTTACGAAAAATCAGGGCTCTTCACGTCTGTCTTCTGGAGCAATGCCAACAGATCCAGGTCAGCTAATATTTGATTTGCAATAGTAAGGATTCCAGGGTTTCGTTAAAAGGATCATGCCCCACTGGTGTATGATTTGAAATCTTCGTAAGAAGAACATGAGAAATGGCTATTGACCATTATACAACGAAGCATATAGTTTTCCATGACAATTTCCAGTATTCGGTACAAAACCATTACTTTCTGCTTTCTAGTAATTCTGGACGTGTATTTCAGAAGAATCACAGCTGAAATGTCAAAGCAATATAACAAGTAAGAATGCTCAGACACTTTATTTAGAATAACATTGCTGTAATTGTTTATTAACAACGGGGCAAAGCTGGGGATTGCTCTTCAAGCACAACCAAACCTCACATTAATCCAACAGTATGCCATCAAGGTGTCGTGCATGTATCGCCCAACATGGCGGACACACCAGATATTGATCAGTCATTGTGTCATCCTTGTCACTTCATCACCAAACTTATACAGATTAGGGACGGTGGGGTATTCTTGTGGTCCTAGCATTCGCTTGTAACATCGAGAGCCCGGGTTTGATTCCCTACATGGATACAATGCGTGAATATTGCTAAAAGTGGCGTAAAACATAACTCACTCACTCATACATATTATGACACTGTAATAAGTGAACATCGCCTTCTGGCAATGGAGTGTACCACTGTGCGTTGTGTTCTCATTGGTATAGAAAGACTGTGCTTACTGTTGCAGCCATATCCCGTCCAGCCAGCTTTACATGAACAGTGACCGTTTGCCGTGTTACACGTTGACCTACACCCAGCTCCACACGGTGTACAGGATTGCCCGTCCTTGTAATAGCCGCCACTGCATGCTGTAAATTAACACACATTGTTCCAATGAAAAGAAGACAGTCATTGATAAACTGGGTATTTTGTACGAAACATCGTGAGCGTTGTATGGCTAGCATACTGTATCGTTGGGCACTGCAGGACCGGACTTCCAGTTTTTTGTGTTATACTTGAAAACAACTCACATAAAATGATAGCAATAATATTTTGCTTCACTGTGCAATGATATCTGGTGTATTCTCAGCACAGGTGCCGGCAAAATTAGAATCAACCGAAATAGTTGTGAAACGATCCGTCTACTATTAGCCAAAAAAGAGCAGAGAACCTTCAGTATCACAGTAGCATTTAAGTACCATACAGTTATGCATAATGAACTGCTCATGCCACAGCAGCGCACTACATCAGTTTATATGATACAAAAAGAATACCAGTTTCAAATGAATTTTCAACGTATTTTTCCAACTGATGCAGTTACGAAAAATCTAGGCTCTTCACGCCTGTCTTCTTGAGCAATGCCAACAGATCCAGGTCAGCTAATATTTGATTTGCAATAGTGAGGATTCCAGGGTTTCGCTAATAGGATCATGCCCCACTGGTGTATCCTTTGAAATCTTCGTATGAAGAACATGAGAAATGGCTATTGACCATTATATAACGAAGCATAAAGTTTTCCATGACAATTTCCAGCATTCGGTACAAAACCATTACTTTCTGCTTTCTAGTAATTCTGGACGTGTATTTCAGAAGAATCACAGCTGAAATGTCAAAGCAATATAACAAGTAAGAATGCTCAGACACTTTATTTAGAATAACATTGCTGTAATTGTTTTTTAACAACGTGGCCGAGCTGGGAATAGCTCTTTAAGCACAACCAAACCTCACATTAATCCAACAGTATGCCATCAAGGTGTCAGAATCAGAATCAGAATCAGTTTATTCTCAGAAACCACAAAAGGTGGTACAAGAGCATATTACAATAAATAATTATGCATATGTACAAAAAGCAGACAAGATGGCAATTAATAACAACATGTGATTACCTAGCATTTTTAATACTAATGGACATTTTTACAATGAATCTCGATAATTTTTTTAGATCCTGTGTGTTTGTTGTTGATAAGAGTTTTACAAATTTTATAATATTTGGCCGTTCAGTATAATATGGTGAGAGAAATGTTCGCCTCTCTCTTTTAAAATAATTACATCTGAATAAGTAGTGAAATTCATCAGCAATAGATGGGGAATTACATAATTTACAAGTTCTATTTTCTTTGGGAATATTTTTCCATCGACCAGTCTCATTAGGTAAATTATGATTACAGGTTCGAAATCGTAGTATTGGAATTGCTATTCGTTTTGGCAGTAGAAGATATTTATCGAGAACCGGAGTGTCCTTTAAATGTTTATAGTATAAGCCTTTAGAACTAGAATTAACGTCACTTCTCCATTTCTGAAAAAAGTGATCTTTAAGTATTTGCTCTACTTCTGACACTAGCCACTTTGTTGTGCAGATTGACGGATTGTTAAATACATAAGATAATCCAATACTGTCTAATATATTCATAACACATCTAACCCAGGGATTTGTTGATGCAATAGTCTTGTTCCCGTTAATAGACAGATATTGATATAACAGCTGTGAAAGTTTATACACTCCAGTTTGGTATGTTAATTTGTGCCAGAAAGATATCATTCGTTTACAAATTATTATTCTTAATGGTAGCCTACCTAATTCGCCATATATCATATAACGAGGAGTTGAATTTCTTAATCCTGTGATAAGTCTGAGGAATTTGAGGTGTATTCTTTCTATAATTTCTAAATTTTCAAAGCCCCAGATTTCTGAACCATAAGTTAATATTGGTAATACCATCGTATCAAAAGCTGATAATACACAGTCCAAAGGTAAATTTAAATTTCTTGATTTTTTTATCAGGCAAAACATTGCTTTCAAAGCATTATCACTGAGGGACTTAAGACTTGATACTAGTTTTCTATTCCTGTGAAGTACAATTCCTAAATATGTATAAGTGTCGACAATATCTAGAGTTTTATCAGAATAGTGAAATTTATGTTTCGAATTTTTCGATGGGCCACCACCGAAAATCACAATTTTTGTTTTATTTATATTTACATGTAATTTCCACTCTTCACAATATTCATTAAAAGTGTCCAAGGCTTTCTGTAAACCTTCTGGTGATTCATCAAATAATACAGCATCATCTGCATACAATAGAATTATGAATTGGATCCATACAATTAAGTCTTTATCTTGATCATAGTTGAGATTAACTCCTCCACACCCAGATGAAAGCAAAAAGATTTCCACGTCATTTATGAAAATTGAGAATAATAGAGGGGATAGGTTTTCTCCCTGTCTGACACCTATATTACAAGGAAAGTAACCTGACATTTTATCATCACACTGTATCAACGATTTAATATTTTTATACATATTTTGAACTAACGTAAGAAATCTACCTTTGATGCCAATAGTCTGCATTTTCCTCCACAATCCCACTCGCCAAACAGTGTCAAAAGCTTTAGTAAAGTCTATGAAAGCGCAGTATAATTTTTGTTTATTATTTTTTAAAATTTGCATAAGCATATAAATTACAAATATATTGTCAGCAGTTGAGAAAGATTTCCTGAATCCTGCTTGGGCAGGTGTTAGAATATTATTTTTATCTAAGAATTTAGTTAAACGGTTGTTTAAAATTCTGGTGAATAGTTTTCCAAAGCAACTAAGGATAGTGATTGGCCTATACGAGTTAGGATCAAGTGGGTCACCCTTTTTCTTGTAAATCGGTTTACTTATACCCACTAACCAAGATTCTGGAAGTATACCCTTTTCAAATATCAGGTTAAATAGTTCAACTAACAAAGGGGTTAATAAATCAATACTATCAATAAAATAATCATTTTCTATAAAATCAATACCGGATGCTTTATTTCTCTTTAGTTCTCTTACTGCTATCATAACTTCATCAGGTGTGATATCTCCATTTAAAGTTTCACAGTCATATTGTGTATCCATAGTACATTCCTTCATTTCCGGGTCTTCTGAAGTTGTCTCATTGAGTGACTTAAAAAACTGGTAAAAATCTTCAATTTCAGGACAAATATTGTCATCTTTTTTATCTCCTTTTAACATTTTCCAAAACTCTTTTGGGGAGTGTTTGTGTTTTTCTCTTAACATTTTACCTAAGTTATCTTTATATTGTTTTATATGCTTATCCATACATTTCTTATAAGCCTAACATGGCGGACACACCAGATATTGATCAGTCATTGTGTCATCCTTGTCACTTCATCACCAAACGTATACAGATTAGGGACGGTGGGGTATTCTTGTGGTCATAGCATTCGCTTGTAACATCGAAAGCCCGGGTTTGATTCCCTACATGGATACAATGCGTGAATATTACTAAAAGTGGCGTAAAAAATAACTCACTCACTCATACATATTATGACACTGTAATAAGTGAAAATCGCCTTCTGGCAATGGAGTGTACCACTGTGCGTTGTGTTCTCATTGGTATAGAAAGACTGTGCTTACTGTTGCAGCCATATCCCGTCCAGCCAGCTTTACATGAACAGTGACCGTTTGCCGTGTTACACGTTGACCTACACCCAGCTCCACACGGTGTACAGGATTGCCCGTCCTTGTAATAGCCGCCACTGCATGCTGTAAATTAACACACATTGTTCCAATGAAAAGAAGACAGTCATTGATAAACTGGGTATTTTGTACGAAACATCGTGAGCGTTGTATGGTTAGCATACTGTATCGTTGGGCACTGCAGGACCGGACTTCCAGTTTTTTGTGTTATACTTGAAAACAACTCACATAAAATGATAGCAATAATATTTTGCTTCACTGTGCGATGATATCTGGTGTATTCTCAGCACAGGTGCCGGCAAAATTAGAATCAACCGAAATAATTGTGAAACGATCCGTCTACTATTAGCCAAAAAAGAGCAGAGAACCTTCAGTATCACAGTAGCATTTAAGTACCATACAGTTATGCATAATGAACTGCTCATGCCACAGCAACGCACTACATCAGTATATATGATACAAAAAGAATACCAGTTTCAAATGAATTGTCAACGTATTTTTCCAACTGATGCAGTTACGAAAAATCTAGGCTCTTCACGTCTGTCTTCTTGAGCAATGCCAACAGATCCAGGTCAGCTAATATTTGATTTGCAATAGTGAGGATTCCAGGGGTTCGTTAAAAGGATCATGCCCCACTGGTGTATCCTTTGACATCGTCGTAAGAAGAACATGAGAAATGGCTATTGGCCATTATACAACGAAACTAAAGTTTTCCATGACAATTTCCAGTATTCCGTACAAAACCATTACTTTCTGCTTTCTAGTAATTCTGGACGTGAATTTCAGAAGAATCACAGCTGAAATGTCAAAGCAATATAACAAGTAAGAATGCTTAGACACTCTATTTAGAATAACATTGCTCTGATTGTTTATTCACAACATGGCCGAGCTGGGAATAGCTCTTCAAGCACAACCAAACGCAAATTAATCCAACAGTATGCCATCAAGGTGTCGTGCATGTATCGCCCAACATGGCGGACACACCAGATATTGATCAGTCATTGTGTCATCCTTGTCACTTCATCACCAAACGTATACAGATTAGGGACGGTGGGGTATTCTTGTGGTCCTAGCATTCGCTTGTAACATCGAGAGCCCGGGTTTGATTCCCTACATGGATACAATGCGTGAATATTACTAAAAGTGGCGTAAAACATAACTCACTCACTCATACATATTATGACACTGTAATAAGTGAACATCGCCTTCTGGCAATGGAGTGTACCACTGTGCGTTGTGTTCTCATTGGTATAGAAAGACTGTGCTTACTGTTGCAGCCATATCCCGTCCAGCCAGCTTTACATGAACAGTGACCGTTTGCCGTGTTACACGTTGACCTACACCCAGCTCCACACGGTGTACAGGATTGCCCGTCCTTGTAATAGCCGCCACTGCATGCTGTAAATTACCACACATTGTTCCAATGAGAAGAAGACAGTCATTGATAAACTGGGTATTTTGTACGAAACATCGTGAGCGTTGTATGGCTAGCATACTGTATCGTTGGGCACTGCAGGACCGGACTTCCAGTTTTTTGTGTTATACTTGAAAACAACTCACATAAAATGATAGCAATAATATTTTGCTTCACTGTGCGATGATATCTGGTGTATTCTCAGCACAGGTGCCGGCAAAATTAGAATCAACCGAAATAGTTGTGAAACGATCCGTCTACTATTAGCCAAAAAAGAGCAGAGAACCTTCAGTATCACAGTAGCATTTAAGTACCATACAGTTATGCATAATGAACTGCTCATGCCACAGCAACGCACTACATCAGTATATATGATACAAAAAGAATACCAGTTTCAAATGAATTTTCAACGTATTTTTCCAACTGATGCAGTTACGAAAAATCTAGGCATTTCACGTCTGTCTTCTGGAGCAATGCCAACAGATCCAGGTCAGCTAATATTTGATTTGCAATAGTGAGGATTCCAGCGGTTCGCTAAAAGGATCATGCCCCACTGGTGTATGATTTGAAATCTTCGTAAGAAGAACATGAGAAATGGCTATTGACCATTATACAACGAAGCATAAAGTTTTCCATGACAATTTCCAGTATTCCGTACAAAACCATTACTTTCTGCTTTCTAGTAATTCTGAACGTGAATTTCAGAGGAATCACAGCTGAAATGTCAAAGCAATATAACAAGTAAGAATGCTCAGACACTCTATTTAGAATAACATTGCTCTAATTGTTTATTCACAACATGGCCGAGCTGGGGATAGCTCTTCAAGCGCAACCAAACGCAAATTAATCCAACAGTATGCCATCAAGGTGTCGTGCATGTATCGCCCAACATGGCGGAAACACCAGATATTGTTCAGTCATTGTGTCATCCTTGTCACTTCATCACCAAACGTATACAGATTAGGCACGGTGGGGTATTCTTGTGTTCCTAGCATTCGCTTGTAACATCGAAAGCCCGGGTTTGATTCCCTACATGGATACAATGCGTGAATATTGCTAAAAGTGGCGTAAAACATAACTCACTCACTCATACATATTATGACACTGTAACAAGTGAACATCGCCTTCTGGCAATGGAGTGTACCACTGTGCGTTGTGTTCTCATTGGTATAGAAAGACTGTGCTTACTGTTGCAGCCATATCCCGTCCAGCCAGCTTTACATGAACAGTGACCGTTTGCCGTGTTACACGTTGACCTGCACCCAGCTCCACACGGTGTACAGGATTGCCCGTCCTTGTAATAGCCGCCACTGCATGCTGTAAATTAACACAAATTGTTCCAATGAGAAGTAGATTTTGTACGAAACATCGTGAGCGTTGCAATTGTATGGCTAGCATACTGTATCGTTGGGCACTGCAGGACCGGACTTCCAGTGTTTTGTGTTATACTTGAAAACAACTCACATAAAATGATAGCAATAATATTTTGCTTCACTGTGCGATGATATCTGGTGTATTCTCAGCACAGGTGCCGGCAAAATTAGAATCAACCGAAATAATTGTGAAACGATCCGTCTACTATTAGCCAAAAAAGAGCAGAGAACCTTCAGTATCACAGTAGCATTTAAGTACCATACAGTTATGCATAATGAACTGCTCATGCCACAGCAACGCACTACATCAGTATATATGATACAAAAAGAATACCAGTTTCAAATGAATTTTCAACGTATTTTTCCAACTGATGCAGTTACGAAAAATCTAGGCATTTCACGTCTGTCTTCTGGAGCAATGCCAAAAGATCCAGGTCAGCTAATATTTGATTTGCAATAGTGAGGATTCCAGGGTTTCGCTAATAGGATCATGTCCCACTTGTGTATCCTTTGAAATCTTCGTATGAAGAACATGAGAATTGGCTATTGACCATTATACAACGAAGCATAAAGTTTTCCATGACAATTTCCAGTATGCGGTACAAAACCATTACTTTCTGCTTTCTAGTAATTCTGGACGTGTATTTCAGAAGAATCACAGCTGAAATGTCAAAGCAATATAACAAGTAAGAATGCTTAGACACTTTATTTAGAATAACATTGCTCTAATTGTTTATTCACAACGATGCCGAGCTGGGGATAGCCCTTCAAGCGCAACCAGACGCAAATTAATCCAACAGTGTGCCATCAAGGTGTCGTGCATGTATCGCCCAACATGGCGGACACACCAGATATTGATCAGTCATTGTGTCATCCTTGTCACTTCATCACCAAACTTATACAGATTAGGAACGGTGGGGTATTCTTGTTCGTTTGTAACATCGAAAGTCCGGATTTGATTCCCTATATGGATACAATGCGTGAATATTACTAAAAGTGGTGTTAAACACAACTCACTCACTCATACATATTATGACACTGTAATAAGTGAACATCGCCTTTTGGCCATGGAGTGTACCACTATGTGTTGTGTTCTCATTGGTATAGAAAGACTGTGCTTACTGTTGCAGCCATTTCCCGTCCAGGGAGCTTAACATGTACAGTGACCGTTTGCCGTGTTACCCGTTGACCTACACCCAGCTCCACAAAGTGGCGTAAAACACAACTCACTCACTAATACATATTCCGACACTGTAGCAAGCCTGGAAGATTTCACGCGGGAGCGTTGGAGTGAAGGGGAATTATATTTTAGTTTCTGCGCCAAGACCACATGACATTGCTCACTTCCGCCTAGGTCATGGTCACGCTCGCCATTTTGAGAAAACAAAATCAGTCAGTGTGTTAGCTATGAAATGGCTTTATGACGTTGTTAATGTTATTTTTACATGACTGACAAAATTATGAACTTTATAGCATGTTTTAATGACGAAGGCAATGACGGAACTTCCTTCCCCAATATCATACACCTTTATGAACGAACAATTTCCACGACAAATGTGTGTCGCCAGCGGGATTCAAATCCGCATAAGTCCAAAACGAAGGCTAACGAAAGTAGTTTTCTGCCACGCCACCATGGAAGAAATTTCCATCATAAAAAAAGAAACAGTTAAACCGTTCATGAACGGTTAGTGAGTTAGTGAGTTAATGTAACGTCGTATCTGCATTATTCCAACAAGTTTATATACATGTATATGCACGTACGTCATAAATACAAAATTATATTTAAAAGCAAATTTGTCACAAATATTTAATAATAATAATCATTTACAACTCTTTAAAACATGGGCTATAAGCCACCAGCAACCAAAGCTAGGCCACCTCACTGCGGATCATGGGGACTTACTCATGTTCGACTATACTAATTATCTTTTGAAGTTTTTACCTGATGGTGATAAAAGACACATGTAAAGAGTAGTCTTAATAGGCACACATACCTCCTCGTGATAATAATAAATGCCCGGTGGCAAACAGGAAGACACGTATGCATGAAACAAACTCCAATGCTAAAGATTCTTTGAATCATGCAAACTCTGAACATCACCAAATCTATGACACGGCCTGACTACTATCGTTGTATTGGTTTAACTATACAAACAGTCCTGCTGTAGGAAGAAAGAAGGGACACGCGCTCAGAACATCAGACACGAAATAACATACTAACGGCAACATAGATGTTAATAAACTAACTTGTAACGCATTATGTGCACAGATTGTGTAACTTATCTTATTAAGTTTGCGTCTCATTCACGCGAGTATTTGGTATTTTGTGGTATTTTGTAGAATAATCACTTTGCGAGGTAAGGCATGCATGTTCTTTATTCATAGGCGATTGCGATTGGCTTTATAATTGTAGATTGGGATAAACAACAACAATAATCGCTTTTAAATTCAAAGTACGTTTAGAGTTGTATGTTTATCGATAACATACATAGTTTTACAGTAGGTGTATCTCATAAACGTCGTCGCCAATGTATTGAAGTAACGCCAGTTTTCCAACTGCGATACAAAGCTATAGTTACCGTTGGTCGGTTCCACTGGAGGTGATGTAGTTGCAGCAGTTGTTGACCTTTCGTGATCCAGAGTCGATGCAGGCGTTACTTCATCTGAAAAAAGGAAAAGCATATTGCTATTTGAAATTATGAATATGCCCGAGTGTTGTTTTATGATGGGGGATTGTAACCTGCTGGACACTGTGCAGGTAATGAGATCTAAGACATTTAAAGGTACTGTCATATCAATGCTCACCTGTGTATGTGACGTTAAGGTGTTTGTTTCCCGTTTGTTGTTTAACGCCACTCTCAGCAATATTCCAGCTATATGGCGGCGGCCTATAAATGATCGCGTCTCCAGACTCACATCCAAAGAAGTTACCTAGCCTGACCACCTGATCCATTAAATCGCCACATACGTGCTCAGTTTGCTTGGGATCTATTCTGACCCGGAATCCTCACCTGATAAAATAATTACCCATTGAACAGTGGATGTGTCTGTTCTGGAAATGTTCTGTTCTGTTCGCAAGAAATGAGTCTTTTACTCCATGGCAATATTTGCGTTCTTGCGCTATTCTCTTAGTTTCGGCAAAACAAATCTAAGATAAGTTATTTGAAGCACACAAATTTTACAAACGATCAACGAGAACCTATTATCACATTACTCTTTTGGGTAAAACTTCTTATTTTAAATGTAACAATATAAATCATATTGTTTGGTAGGCATTTTTTAGAAGCTGACGGATGACAAAGTAGACAAACATGCTATTTGGATAACGACTATATTACTGTATTGATGCACAGCTACTTGAAAAGGAAAGAACAGTTTAGATGTGACCTTCCGGTAAGGCGGACGCCTTAAAAGGGCATCGAGCTACTTTGGTCTTGCTGGAAAAGTGACTTGTTGTGTGTACAGTTTAAAGCAATTTCGAAAGCCATACAGTACATATCCTCATACTCATAGTCATTGTTCAGTGTGTCAAATAAAAAGTATATGATAACTGAGTATACTTTAACAAATATGTAAATAAATGGCCTATGAAAACTCACTTTTTTCACAGCCATAGTTTTTTTCGGTGTATCCCATGGCACAACCAGACGGACACTTCCTGGGGATCTCCAAACAGTCTGAAGCGTTCTTACAGTTGCACTCCATATTACATTCATCGTCATGAAGGCATTCTAAGAATGGGCAAGCACGTGTGAAAACAGCGTAGAAACTGTACAGGACAGACAAGGATAATACGTGGAACCACATATCAGATGTAGATGTTTTACTTTTGTACGTTTAACGTCAAAGAGAAAGTTCATTTAATCATATGGAATCAGGAAAAAGTACACCAAAAATGATGACTAGAGATATACTTATATCGTAGGTAAGCAATTGGATATAATACCGTGTGAAAAGGCACCAAACAAATTCACCCAAAAGAGTAGCGCATGTATTTAATGTAATTTAATCAACCATTTCTCCGGGCTTTAGTATACACTATCCACATGGTTGTATCATGTATATGATAAGTATATATAGACGTCAGCAGTCCAAATATTCCACGCCATGAATACATACTTCTATGTAACTTATTTCATGCATAATAAACGTTCACTTGCCATAAGCAATTGCTACCTCACACACTCTGAACTGAGGGTGTAATATAAGACTGGGGTATAACCGCTTCCCTGTGTACTCGTAGTCAGTAATCTTGTTGGTCACATTTTTGCGAATCGATACTGTTTCCCATCTGTCTTTTGCACCAATGTAAAATGTGGACAGACTTTTACCTTTAACAAAATAAGACGAAAACAAGTCATTCTTTAGGATTTAGTTTAATAATGGACATGTTATGTAAAATCATCATATGGCATTGATCCAGTAAGATTTACCTGCTTTGGCAATTATCAAACATGTTTTGTATTACCAACAAAAAATAAGAATTTTAGACGAAATATTGTTTGATGTAGCATTGTCTTTGATATGCAACTGTTAGATTGGTTTGAATCAACTTCAGAATTGAACTAGGACAGAAGACTGGCGGGCGCTCTTCCCTTGTATCAGATTTGTTTGTCAACTGACAGCGGAACTGATGGGTCCAAATCACCTATCAAGAGTTTTTCAGAACTGAGAACCTAAGCAACATTGTAGATTGATGGGTTTGTTGCTGATAATCTTGGCATCTGTTTAAGGTAGAAACAAAAGTGAATGCACCCGCAAAAATCCAGTCAAATCATTCAATGCAACATTAATTAAGCTATACAAATACGGTTGGTGTAAAGTTTCGTGTGTGAGGGATACATAGTCAAACTGATAAGCAGCGGTATGTTATTACCACTGACGTCAAACCAAACGTGGTCAATATAACGGAATACAATATTTAAATATACATGATGTTGATTGATCAAAAGCGTAATCGGTCCAAATTATTTAATTATAATGCAATAATGCATATTTACAATTCATAAAATATGTGGTAGTGAATTGGTTTTAATGCTCCCTTGAACAGTATTCCAGTTATATCTCGGGGTGTCAGCAGAAGTTGTCAGACATGTCAGACGTCTATCACTTCTCTCACAACTCTGCACAATAGGCCAACTTATATTTAATCCCAAATGCATTTACATTAATATAGACCTACCTGGTTTATGAAAAATTCGGATGATGTTAAATTTTCTTGCTGGGCCTTTGACAGTGCATGTTATAAAACCTTTGTAGCCCTGACTTGTACACGTTCTGAGGTTCTCATCGACTACGTCTTGGTGGTCTTTGCAGGATGCCAATTGGTTGACTGAAACCGTTAAAACATAATTAATTGCAAGATGTTTTCATGGGACATCTGCTGAATTCATAATTTAGACGTTATCATCTCAGTGGCTAAACCAAAATATAGAAATCTACTTCATGTCAAGCAAAGAAAATCAACTTCTGTTTTCAAAAATAAAAACCCTTATATGTAACACAATCATTTGGTAGAATACATCTAACCTTAACTCATGTTTATATGCCGCTAAGTGTGTCGTACTTAATACGTGTATACATGGTCAATAAATTGTTTCAAATGCACGATCTTCTAGTTTCAAGGCAATCACGAGGAACAAAGAAGTACAGTTGGTAGGATAGGTTACGTAATATTGCAACTATTTAACCACAGCGGTTTTACTGCTTGAAACAATTGGCATCAGTAAACTGATTAAACATGGTAAGTGTCATCCCTTAGTTAAAGGTAATATGATGCGCGATGACATTTGTGTGTATATATAGTGAATAAAAACATATTCAAGAAACAACCATATGCTATTTTACCATTTGGACTGACCATTTATTCTTTTGAATGTTTCAATAGGGATCTTACCATACTGGCATCGACTGCCTGTGAAACCAGTCTCACACCCAGCCTCACAGTACTTTTTGGGAAGATCACACTCTCTCTTGTTAAGACAACGACAAGCACCTGATAGACAAGAAGCATCATGGGAAAATTATGCAAGTGAACACACATGTTTATGAGTTTGACTCTTTCAGGCTCTCAGATCTACATAATTGCCCAGGGAAGAACGGTTTGATAATGAAAACATCAGCTGTTACGATTTGAATC